TTGTAAAATTAGATGTTTCTATGTGAAATGTATGAAAATAAAAAAAATACCTACAGACAATTCAGGTCCAGAATACAGACAAAAAAGAAACATTTTAAAAGTACAAAAGAAACTTGCTGCAAAAGCAAATAATTCTATATTTCATTAACAGTTTGAAATAAATAAATAAATATATATAAATATATATATAAATATATATATATATATATATATATATATATATATATATATATATATATATATATATATATATATATATATATATATATATATATATATATATATATATATATATATATATATATATATATATATATATATGAATGTCTAACATTCATTTTAAGAAAAATATGTTAATTAAATTAATATGATAACATATTGTCAAACTGTTATTTAAATTAAATGCGAATTAAGCGCTAATAAAGACGGACATAGCACAGGCAGAATGAACAATTTTATCTAATGTTTTATGAAATTCTCCTTCTTTAGTAAACAAATAGTTAATTGATACTTTGTTGTTGAGAGTTGAAAACTTTTGTCGCAAAGTACCAATAACACGCTCAACATGTATTCTACCGTTTGCTAACTGACGCGTTGTGATAACTTCAGTAGCACTAGGCTGATCTTTTTCCCGTGTAAAATCAGGAGTTTCCAGCTCCGAATGACCCCACAATATCATTAATCTTAAAACCTCTATCTGCCATAACTGTGTCTCCATAAGCAAGTTTATACAAATAACCACAATTTTTCGTAATTACTTTGTCACTTGATCTACTGCCCTATCATTTTGAAATGAAATTTATTGTACCTTGTGGGGTTATACTAATCAAATATTTTGCAGTATTGTTGTGTTTATAAAATAACCATGTTAGGCAACTTGATGTTATGTTACAAGGTCTATCAATAAACAACTCAAAGCAATCAATAATACTTGTAATCGTATCTCTAAATTTTATTTTAAATGTAAGAGGCATAGTTTTTATTATTTCTGACCATTCGGGCCATATAATGAATGATGATAGTTTAACAAAAATTACATTGATCATGTGAAAAAACAACCTTGAGACAGTTGTTTTTGAAACACAAAAACGGTATGCAAGAACAATTTTTCCAGATCCGAACACAGTTTCATTAGACACAAAACTACCTGACAAAACATATTTAGAGTAAATGGAATTTTTCCCATACAAAAAATTCGAGTTAACCGAAGAAATTTGCCGAAAGGGGACAATAAAATGGTTCGACTTAACGAAGTTCGAGTAATCCGATGTTCGACTAAACCGGAGAATTTTAATAGTAATCACTTAGACAATTTCAAGGCACCAAATGAAACAGTTCGAGATAACCAGTGTTCGACTTACCGGGAATTAACTGTATACATCAATATCATCATAAAACTGATCAAAGTGAAAAGCAAGGAATATAAAACGTTTGGAATTAAAGTTAAAATTGAAGTTAAAAAACCTCGATCGGCAAATCAAGATTTTTATTTATTTTTTCATACATTTTTTTAGTTTTCTTTCATATATTTCTTAAGATTATTTATTTATTTTTTTTTCAATTTTTTAGCGTATATAGTTTTACTAATTATTTTTTGTTAGTCATTAGTTGTTATTAGTTTTTTAGTTATTATTTATTTTTAGTGGTATATAAATTTTTATACAGTTATATATTATTTGTTTTTATTTTCATTTTAGCCATTTATTATTTATGTTTAATTCTACCATGTATTATTTTTTTTTTTTAATTTTAATTTTTTTTGTTGTTGTTGGTTTAGTTTATTTTGCGTAGGTTTTTGTTTTGTTTCGTAATGTTTGTTGTAACTTGTTTTGTTTTGATTTTCTCAGTGTTTTTCTGTTATATTTTATTTATTTATTTGGTCATAATATTTGCAATATATTTTGATTATTATATTTTAACAACTATGATTATATTAATATGTTTACTAAATCTTTATAATTTTTATAGCAGTTGTTTTTATGTCATCGTTAGTTGTTACGTTTTGTCAGATTATTACTGTTTGTAACTGTAACTTTGTTTGTAAAAATGATTGCTGTATGGAATGTAATACCGAAAGAAAGTATTATTTAAATTATTACAATTACTATATTATTATTGTTATTATTACTATTATTAATATTATTATTACTAAGATTAATTGTATATATAGAAATTATTTTTTATAGGTATTTACTTGAGATTAGTATTTTAATACTATTTGTAAATAGCCTTGAAAATTTATTTTCAGAATATATATGATTGATTAATTGAAAAATTGCACTATCTTTCACAAGTTCAACTACAGCACATAAGGTGTCATAATCTGGTAAATCAGTGAAGTATATAACTGCTTCAGCATTATTTTTAAAAAGTTGTTTAGAAATCAATGCTTCTAATGTATCTTTTAAATTTTTTTGATTTTAATCAAGTAAAGATTGATATTTCTTGCTTAACATTTTGATTTCATCATTCAATTTATAAACTATGTTTTCTTTACTAACTTTTGATGATCTTTCATGGCATAAATTGGATTCAACTTCTTCATCTAAAACAATAACAAACAAAAAATAAATAGGTACTTTTTAAAGTAAAACAAAATTAAATTTGATTTATAAGTTCCCTTAACAACTCATTAACTAAAAAGTACCTTTGTCAAATTTACTTATCTTATTATCAATAATATGATGAACTTGCTTTTCTTTTTTTACGTCGTTTTAATGTGCTTTTAATTTTAAACCATCTTTTAATTTCTTTGACATCAACCCTCCTTTCAAACCCCTTTCTCTACTCATATAAAGTGTTGAAACCCAATCTGCAAAATCTTTTTCAAATAGTTTTGCTGGTTTTCTTCTAATATCTTTTTTTTTTTTTTTTTTTATTTGCATTCACTTCCAACAAGGCTGCAAGCAACCACTATTAAGTTGGGAGTTACTAGGAAAAAAAAGAACAGAGTTATAGAGCAAGGAAACGGTTGACAGAAGACTTGAAAAGTTGAAGGTTGTAGGAGTCAGGAAAACATGAAGATGGGAGAGAGTTCCAAAGGATTGAAGTGCGGGGAAAAAAACTAGATGAATAAAAGTTTTTAGAGCATGCTGGGACAAATACAGTAGACGAATGAGACTTAGCTGAATGACGAGTAAAACGAGAATGAATTTTAGTTGATGGAACTAGAGATGATAACTCCTTTGAGCAGTGACCATGATAGTATCTGTAGAAAAGAGAAAGAGATGCAACTTTACGACGATGGGAAAGAGGTTCAAGCTTAGCAGATAGTCCAGGTCCAACAACATTTACAATGCGTTTTTGGACCTTGTCAAGAAGAGAAAGTGAATCGTTAGAAGAACCAGCCCAAATATGACAACAGTATTCCATACAGGGACGTATAAGAGATTTGTAGAGGTAGAGAATGGAATCAGAAGTAAGGAAATGGCGAGCACGATAAAGAGAAGCAACCTTAGCAGAAGCTAATTTAGCAATCGATTGTATATATGGTTTCCATGAAAGGTCAGTAGTAAGCGATAATCCAAGAAGACGTAAAGAGGAGGACTCAGTAAAAGGATTGCCATTTATTAATATAGGAATGTTGACCATATTACGGTAGTTGTTTGCAGTAAGCAATTGGGTTTTTTTAGAGTTGAAATTCACAAGCCACTGTGAACCCCAATCTATTACTGAAGTGAGATCAGATTCAAGATCAGCTGCTTGTTCTAGGCGATCGAAAAGAGAAGACTTTTTGTCAAGACAGGAGTATAAAGTTGAGTCATCAGCAAAAAGAGCTACTTTAGATGAAAGGTTGTCAGGAAGATCGTTTATGTAGATAAGAAACAAAACAGGGCCCAGGATGGAACCTTGGGGAACCCCAGAAGTTACTGGAAATAAAGAAGAGTGTTGGCCTTCAAGGATGACTTTAATAAACCGGTCAGAAAGAAATGATTTGATAATCTCAAAAACTTTCCCAGAAACACCATATGAAGCAAGCTTATGGAGAAGACCAGCATGCCAATCTTTGTCGAAAGCTTTAGATATGTCGAGAGCAATAGCCCTAGCCTCACCGCCTCCATCTAATGCACGATAAAATCTTTCAGTTACAGCAGTTAGCAAGTCGGCCGTAGAGCGAGAGGATCGAAAACCGTATTGATTGTCTGACAGCAGTTTATTTGACTCAAGATAAGATGTGAGGAATTTGTTGATCAAAGACTCAAAGACCTTGCTAATAACAGAAAGAAGACTGATCGGACGATAATTGGAGGGGTCACAATTTTCTCCAGAGTTTTTGAATATTGGAACCACAGATGCTATTTTCCAACAAGCAGGAAAACAAGACTCAGTCAAACACTTGTTAAATAGTTTAGAGAGAATTGAAAAAAGTTCTGGAGAACAATTCTGCAAGACTGTGACAGGAATGTTGTCTGGACCACAAGCTGTAGACGAGTTTAATTTAGATATAACTTTAGCAACAGAAGCCGGAGTGATTTGAATGTCTAACAATGGGTCAACCTGTTTGACTGGAATGGAAGGAAGAGAATGTCCATAAGATTCAAGAGTTAGAAGGAATTAGAAGAAAAGTTCTTTGCAAACAGTTCTGCCTTATCCCTGGGAGAGATAACAAGATCAGTCCCATGAATAAGAGATGGAATGTTAGATCTACCCTTGTTAACAATGTTGTTGAAGATTTTCCAAAAGTCTTTAGAGCCTAAAATCTGCGATAAGATGCGAGATTTAGTGAACTGAGAATAATGGAGTTTAGCATCAGAAAGTACCTTTTTACATCGATTTCTTGCAATAACAAATAGCCGTTTGTTCTCAAGGAGTTGAGTTGAGTTTTGAAGAAGATGAAAAAAATGGTTACGATTGGATATAGCAGCCGCACAAGAAGGAGAAAACCATGGAGTAGAATGAGGCTTGACTTGAAACCGACGAGAAGGAATAAAAGCTTCCATTCCAGCCTGAATCCAGGAGGTTACGTAGGAGGCGCATTTGTCAGCTGAGAGAGAAAAAACATCAGCCCAAGGACCATCACGAAGAAAATCGCGAAAGGAATCCCAGTCAGCTTTAGGGTAGTAGTAGGTGGTGCGATGATAAGGTGAGCCCAAAAAAGAAGTACGAGATGAAAGATTTACAGAGATCATTGCGTGGTCAGAACCACCTAAGGGAGAAAAGGGAGAAACTGAACATAAGCTAGGGGACACCATCCACGCGTTAAAAGATACTGTTAGTACTTAAATACTTTACACCTGTTGACTAAATTAACCTCTTTGAGAACTAAAACAGGTTTCGCCAAACATAAAACCCACCCAACATCAGAACCAAAAAACTGACTTTTAGAGCTGCTTCCTTATTAGAAAAAAATAAAATAATTTGCCTAGTCATAATAACGGACACAAGCAAAACATGCACATTGAGTTAGGAAGATCGAGCATTCAACATCCCTAACTAAAACCAATCTGAAATAAATACATCTACGCCAAAATTACTTATTTATAATTTTTTTTTTTAATTTTAATATTCAAATGCTGAGAGTCCTGGTAACTTAAGGATTTAATATAAATAACTTATCAACAAATTTCTCCTAATATAATATATATAATAAAATTAAATAAGTTTTCAAGATTAGACAACTAAAACTTTTACCATTTTGTCCACCTACTGGCCCACTGATAATCTTGTGCATATTATATCATAATCTTGCGCATATAATTTGATAATCACATATAAATGATGACAAAGTCACAAAGTGAGATCAATTTGAGTACTTTTCGGGTTGTTTTAAACATTGGCACAATATTAAGTTAATAATATCAGTTAATTTGTTTAACTATCCGCCGTCATATCGTCCCCTCAGTATTATCTTGTTCTATTTACAAATGTAATAAATAAAATGTTCTATCTAATATGTAAAATAAATACGTAAAACAAGTTATTTATAAATAATTACAATATTCTAAATAATATAATATACTATATCTTATACTGCTGAGTTAGGTGAGCATGATGATGTCATACTCACCTAATGTCAAATAGCCTGCTGCTGGGGGCTTCAGTACATAAATCGACTGACAAATAGCTTGACTCGCCGTGGAGTGCTGCTACATTGACTGAGGGTTTGGTATGGGTCAGCAACATTTTCATTCATTATTCTTTGTTTTCCCTCATCGTTTTCTAAAAATGCTCACTTTGATTAGGCTAGTAAAAAAAGTCAGCAATTGCGCATATAAATATTCTATAGCAGATATATATATATATCGGAAAGAACACTGTATTTATATATATATATATATATATATATATATATATATATATATATATATATATATATATATATATATATAGTGTATATATATAACTATATATATATAGTGTATATATATATATATATATATATATATATATATATATATAACACTGTATTTATATATATATATATATATATATATATATATATATATATATATATATACATATATACATATATATATATACACATATACATATATATATATATATATATATATATATATATATATATATATATATATATATATATATATATATATATATATATATATATATATATATATATATATATATATATATATATATATATATATATATATATATATATAGTCCTTTCGGTTTTATCACAGAGTCCCACGGAATTTAAATTTAAATTAACAATCTTCCAGATTTTCTCACATCTAAGGTGACATTGTTTGCTGATGATACTACCATTTTTTCTTGTCATGGTAAGGTGCCAACACTCCCTAATTTCTTGGACGGGAAATTTGAGCTTAAAAAGGATCTTATTTTTGCCACAGCATGGGGATCACAATGGCTGGTGAACCTTAATTCAGATAAAACTCAATTTTTTCAGCCAAACATTTTCCTATATTTATGAACGGTAATGTACTCAATGAGTCATCTACCCTTTATAGTCCAGGATTAACTCTTACTTCCAAGAAACCATAAATTAAATTAAAAACCCGTTGCAAAATTAGCATCTGCTAAGGTTGCATCTATCTTGCCAAACACTTTATTAATCCGGATTCTATTCTCTATTTCTATAAGTCTCAAATCCGGTCTTATATGGAATACTGTTGCCATATCTGAGGTGGATCTTCTAATGATGCACTTTCTCCTTTAAACAAAGTGCAAAATCAGTTCTTTGGAATTTGCTTCCTTTATCTTGCTTTCTTTATTAATATAATTTGCAATCTTTTAAGTCGTCTGTCAATCGTTATCTTGCTCTACAATCTTTATCTTTTTTTTTCCAGTAACTTCCAACTTTATTTAATGGTTGCTTGCAGCTTTTTTGAAAGCAAAGATGTTTAACAAAAAAAAACTTGAGTGTTGTGTTCTTTGTTTATGCTATAAAGAAATAAATTTAGATAAAAGTGACGCATACCTTTAAAAAAAAGTCAACAATGAAAAAGAAAGCAGATCGAAGTCTTTGGAAAAAAAACATTGTAAAGGTTGCTAGAAAGAAAGGTGAAGAGTTTGTTAACCACCAAGAAAATACTGTATATTAAAAATCCACTTGCTTTACCTGCTGGTAAAGTATTTTGTATTCGGTGTTAAAATTTTTTATAAAAGTTGCATCATTATATAGGGTTGAGCAAGGGTATTTGAGCCTTATGGCAAGTTGGACAATTAAAATATCTCAAAAACTTCGGATCAAACAACAAAACATCTAATGGACGAAAGTTAGGGAATTAGAATGCTAACACAATGCGCTACAAAATATTTCTAGAAAGCAGTTGAATAAGATACACGGGCTCTTTTACTATTTTGGACCAATGAGTAAAACGTTTTTTGCAATTTATTTTTTGTATGCTTAAAAAAAATTTTATCTGCCATCACTTAAGTGTTGATACTTTATCAATTTATCGGAGTTTAAGTATTGTGTTATGGTGAATTCTGTTCAAGTGCAGGTAAATGTTTTTTAAGTTTATATGTGCTTTAAAAAAAACGAATTAAAAAATTGAGAGCTTTGATCGGAAAAAGCCCAGTGGAATAAAGAGAACGTCATATAAAACAAACATTGTTTGAAGAAATCAAACTTCTTATTTTAAAGCATATTGAAAGCTTTCCAACAATAGAAAATCTGGAAAGTATTAAATGCTATATAGAAGCCACTTAAATTATCAAATGTTTAAGGCTGTTTAAAAATAATACTCTTAAATAAATGTTAGCGAAACAAAGTGTTTTAACTACTTTAAAGAAAACTATTATTTTCATTTGGAAGGCTGCAAAATGACTTTTGCTGCACATGCAAAAATTTTCCTCTCTATATAAATATTTAGTAAAGGTAGAGCAGCAGTTTAACTTAGTCTCGAATAATTAGCGAGACTAAAGTAATTAGCGAGGCAAAAGTAAGATTCATTCACTACCAAGGTTATCTCTAGCCATGACTAATTTTAACAAAAGTGGAAAAGATTGAGCAATTTAATAACCTTAAAAAATCAAATAATCTTTCTATGTGCCTAATATTCAATTAAAATATGATTATTTATATCTTAATTGACCAAACTAAAACAATTTTACGGTGCACGCATCCTGATGATGCCAACCTAACTGAAACTAGAAAGCCACTTTTATAGGGTGATAGCGTACACATCAAGGTACCCTGTGAAGCAAATTTTGAAATCTTTTAATTTTGTCTGCAAAAATTTATTTTATTTGAATGTTCAATTATAAGTAAAATTTTGACTTTATGGTGTGACAAAAAAAACAGCCGTAAAATGAGAACCATCACATATAATTTGATAAAAATTTTTGTAAACGTAGCATATGGCCACACCAAACTTTGGATAAAATTTCAGTCGTATTAAGTAACTGGTTAAGAGTTTAGAGCAGTTTTAGTTTATATTTTGTTAGTTTTTTGCTACTTAGACCTCAAAAAGTTACCGATTACCGATACTTAATCACTATTTTTAAAATAAAGGTTACATGAGTTTTCTATTTTATAATTTAAACAAATTTTATTTTAATTGTTTATTGCTACATATATTATTTTTATTCTTTAGACAAAAATGTTGATTTGCTATTCGAAGCGTGATTTGAATTGGCTTATGCATAGCGTATATATCTAGCATATATATATATATATATATATATATATATATATATATATATATATATATATATATATATATATATATATATATATATATATATATATATATATATATATATATATATATATATATATATATATATATATATATATATATATATGTTGTATATATATATATATATATATATATATATATATATATATATATATATATATATATATATACATATATATATATATATATATATATATATATATATATATATATATATATATATATATATATATATATATATATATATATATTTATTTATATATAATTAAACTTTAAGTTTTCCATTCTTGTGAGTACAATGTAAAAATAATTCAGAATTAAGTTCTCTAGAGTCCCGGCAAAGCCCGTAAAGATAAATCCAAATATCATGTTGAAAAAATTAACAAAACTCAATGTTAAAAAAATGGCGAAATATTACGTCATAATTCAAAATAATAAAGAAACGCCATTAAATATGTCATTGAACTTCAAAGCGTGTTTTATTTATTATGTTTGAAAAACCCACATGAAGTTGAGTAAAACCTTAGGTGTCAAATAATTGTACTGTTTATCTTTAATTTTTTTGCATAAAATATTTTTTTTATAGTATTCCTCATTCTGATTTCAAATATGCAACCCTGTATGCTACTATCACATCAAGTATTAAAGATATTAGGGTTCAATCCTAAATATTTGGGGTAAAATCCCTTACATTGTGAAAAAAAAAACATTTTTAAAAGTATGTCAAACTGGGTCTCAAAAGTAGCGTTTTTTGACAAAAAATTTCAAAAATGATAAACATTTTTATTTAAAAATTTAGAAAGTAAATTTTTAAATAAAAATTTACTTTGTAAATTTATTTCAACTGCTCAATACTTATTTTAGATCTGGCTAGATATCAAGGCAATACCTGGATACAATCGTTGTATATTTTAGCTAGATCTGGCTAGATATCAAGGTAAAATCTGGATATAAAGGTTGGATATGGCTACATATCAAGAACTTTACTAAATAAAATTAAATTATAATTTGGCAAAATATTTAACTATTATCTAAAAAAATATAAAAAAAAAATAACTTATGCCTCAGAATATAACATAAAAAATAAATTTAAAACAATCAGCTGCGACTCACACTTGGAACCAATTATTTAACAAATATTTGGAGTTTTTAATAACTTTTTAGAATTTTTTAAATAATTTTTAGCTGTTTACCTAAGACAACCAACAAAAACAACAATAAAGTCATTATATACTTACTACAAATATGAATCATAGACATCTTCTCTTCGTTGATTGATGTCATATTTTCATTATAGTCATAAAAGTTAAATAGACAATTGCAAAACCAATATTGACCTTGATTTAAATCAACCAAAAACCTTATTAAACTATTTTGACTTAGATTTGTCAACCCACAAATCATTGATAAACAACTATTTAGCTTTTTTTTAGAAATAATCTCTTCACCACTAAATTTATTATATGCGTATACAGCAGCACAAAACTCCATTAACGTTAAATGTAAAAATTGATAATGATAGCCTAAGTTTGTTTCAATCCTTTCAATAAAACCAAAAAACTGATTGTCTACTTTACCCAAGTCACTGGTAAACTTTCGAAACTCTTCTCTGGAAAATACGACTTTGTTTTTAACAAATAATTTATAAGCAATTTTACAAATAGTGAAAACATATTTTTTGTGATATTTACTTTCCATTGTCTTGTAAATTGGTTCATTGGTCCTGTTAATATGCTTTTGATAAAAGTAAAAGAATATACTTGCATACAAATCAGTCATAGTTAAAAACGAAGTGTTAGTTTGCTTAAAATCTATAATAATTTTACACATTAAAGATAAATAAAATGGAACAGATGCCATAGCTTTTGCAGTTTTAGATCCCTTTAAAAAATTTTTTACATCTTCTTTTTTGTTTTGATTAACATTATTTTCTATATAATTATTTATTCCATCTTTGTTAAACCCCATTATTTGAATAGTTAACTTATTACAATTTTCTGGATCCAAATTTTGAAATTGGTCTGTCGCATATACTCTACCAGCAACTACATGATTATATTTTCGGATTTCTGCTAAAGCATTAAGAATCGGATATTCACAACTTGGACTTGGATTAACTAACTCATTTAAGTATTTAAACTCATCTAAACCATCAAACACAAATAATATGTTATGCTTATTAATATCTAAATCTTTCGCAAAATCTTTGTAAAAAACATTAAGTAGTTCGTTTATATTTGAAATATTTTCATAAAGATTAAGAAATTTACATTCAAAATAAAAAACAAGATTGACTTTTTCCCAAATACGATTATTTGCCCAATCAAGTAAACATTTTTTGAGCAACCAAGACTTGCCAATTCCAGCTATGCCTGAAATTAGCAACAAGGACTTTTCATCCCTAAATACTTCTTCATAAGGTATTAGTTTGTAGTTCATTTGTTTCTTAAGAAATTCCGTTCGTTCAATGGTATATGCAGTATCCTTTTTTACATTTATGGCATCAACAATGCAAAGGTCGATAAATTTGTTGAGTAAATTAACATTAAAAGTCGTTTTTAGTGGCGGTTGAGGTTCATCAATTTCCTTAAACCTTTGAATATAAAAATTTTTTAGTGCCATAGATATCTTTAGTTTATCTAAACATATTAAAAATATTTTTTTTCTAAAAACATTTATAAAACATATTTAAATATATTTTTAAAGTATCTTTTAAATATCATCATCATCATTATCAATATCGCAAACGTTTTTGAAAGATACATAATAAAATGTAACTAAATTTTTTAACAGATTCATTATTAAACGTAAATATAAGCATATAAATTAATTGCTTCTTTAACTTATTTTATTAAAATAAGATTTTATTGTTAAACAGTTATAGCTCAAAAAGTTTTCCAATATTTTCATGAGTTTCTTTAAAATTATATTTGACAGAAAAAAAACCTTATTGTTTTAATGATCCGTTACGGATTCAAGGGAAGGGGATATTAATTAAAGGGCTAAAATCAAATATCTTGAAAAAATAAACTATATTGTAAAATAATGGTATTATTTTATATTTAAAATGGAGTGATACTATAAAAAAATTTTAAAATAGGCGGTAGCCACATTTATTGTTTTTATGAGTTTTAGTTTGTTTATGTTTTAAAAGTATTTATAATATAAAATAATGACGTATTTTGCGTTTCTTTTTTAAAAGAAACTTAAGTAGATGTAGGGTAACATGGGGCAAGGTGAGACACTCTTAGGGAATATATTCATAACTTGACAAGAATCCCGTTTCACAACAAGAAAATTTGCAGGCCACTTGTACATTATGTTTCTAATAATCTCTTAAATATTTGTGGTGATAGGTTGCTATATTGGTACATAATTAAGTTCAAAATGGGAACAAACACCCAGTCTCACTTTCCCCAAAACTTGGGGGCAAAGTGAGCATTTTTTTAATATTATTTTTTAATGCAACGATTTCTTCGTGAACAGACGTGTTTTTACAGCAAAAGAATTTTCTTTAAAAAATAAAAATAATAATAATAAAAGTATATTAATTTTAGTTTTTAGTATTTAATTATCTTTATAACCGGAATTATTCTTCAAATTTATCAAACTATCTTCAAAAATTTTGCAACACAAAATTAAAAATGGCGAATTTTACTGTTTCACAAATCAAGGAGCTGTTAGAGTTGCATGAAAGTACACTGTTGAAAATATTTAATGATAAGTTTGAAAAAATAGAAAACAAGCTCATTAGTATGCAAGTAGAAAATACAACTTTAAAAAATGAAATCAGCGAATTAAAGAAGTCTGCTGAGTTCATAAATGAAAAATACGAAAAAAATTTAAACGAAGTGAATGATTCTAAAAAGAAAGCATCAACATCGAATTTAAACAAAACTAGCATAGAACTTGAACACAGCGATAATATAATTAAAGACAAACTAGCAGAATTGGAGGACCGCAGTCGGCGAAACAACTTAAGATTTAATGGGATCCAAGAAAGTGAAAATGAAACTTGGGAAGAAAGAGAAAAAAAAATACACGAACTATTAAATTCAAAACTTGGTATTAATAACAATATAATCGACAAAGGAAAATAACATCGACAAAGGAACAAAACAAACATTAATATATTAATGTTTGTTTTGTTCCTTTGTCGATGATTAATATTACTATATGCATTAATCAATATATTTATTAGCTTTTATTTGCAAGGTTTTTACTTAAGATTAGTACATGTACTATTTGTAAATTTCCGTGAATGTGACAACTAGTTCAGAATATATGAATTGATTGATTGATTGCACGTCCAGTAATAATTCAAGAATTCAGCATTAAAACTAAATTATCTTGGGGAAACTGCAGTCAAAGTTGTTGCCTTGGAAATGTTAAAAAATCAATAAAGGAGAAGTTCATTTCAAAAATTGAAAGTCGTTGTTATTTTATCTTTCTAATTTCAAAAAGATTTTTCTTCTAATGGTATTGCACTTCATTCAAAAAAAAATCTTTAAGAAATCATTTTATCTATTAGTCACATTTTTATATTTTTAACACTTTTATTTCGAATTTGTGAATCAAATTCTTTTCTTATGTTTTAATAAAAATGTATTTTTCTGATATTTTATTATTTTCTACATATTTTGTTGTTCCTTAATATTTTTTGTGGTTCTCTGCGACAAGACCTAATGGTCTTCTTTATCTTTCAAATTAAAAAAAACAAACTTTTATTTTTTCCAATAGAGTTACATTTTATTAAAAAAATAATAAAATAATATTAAAAACTAAAAAAGTTTTTTTTTTATTGATATACTCATTTGTGTTTTTTTTTTCTTTTAATATATTTATGAAGATAAACAATAAATATAATAAATAAAGAATAATGTTTTGTTCCCGGCTTTTTTACAGTCATGCTTGTAACCATGACTTTAAAAGGCAAGTGTTTTTTCTTAAATGTATGAGTGTGCGAGAAAATAAAGTTCCTGTATTAGAACTTGGCTTTACCACAGAGATAAAATTGGTAGTTTTACATACGAGTTGTTACATTACCATATTGGTTGTGTTGACATATAAGAGTGAACAAAATAACATAAACTATAAAAGAAAAAGAGATGTATTGTTGCGAATTAGAAGAGAGAGCAAAGAAACATAAAAAGAAAGAAGAGAAGATCAATAAAAAATTCAGCAAGATTATAATTTTATAGCACAGGTTACACAATTACTTTTAGAATATCTCACTTAAATATGAAGTTATTAAAGTTAATGCATACTTAAAAAAAAGTTACAATTTTTTATAAAAACTACATTTTGTTAATGAACAATAACAATATATCAATAAAATCAGATATTGCATTTAATTTTAGATTGAAAAAACAGATGAAGATCAAAACCAGATTTTTCTAGAGATCCAGAATCTTCTAAGAATGTATATAAAGCTTTCAGTAAATATATCACAATACAGTTAAATATATATACAACAATTGACAGTAATTATATCATTTCAGTGTGTAGCCCTACGTTTAAACAAAAAAATAAATAAATGAACAACTAACAAAAAATAAACATACCTATGTTTTCTATATCTTTTAGAACATCATTTCTGTTCAAATTATTCAGTGAACATATAATCTTCGATTTATAATCATCAGGATAATGTTCATAAAGTTTTTCTAATAAATTTCTCATTCTTGGTTCCGTTTCTCGAGTAAACTGATCAGCATTTATATGTTCAATAATAGAAATTGCTAAATCAAAATTAGGAAACCAGTTATAAGCGAATCTTTGCCAATCAGAAGACAATTTGTTCACAAGGATTTCTATAACTTCGGTATCCATTTCTATAAAATGTTTATTATGAAAAAGCCTTTGTAATGTTTAAGTTAACTCAAGTTTCAAATTAAATGTAGTTAAGATGTCACATAAATATAATGTTTTATTAAAAAACATTTTATTCGAAAATTAGATGTTCTATTGTTAGCAAATTAAATTTTAAACCCTTAATTATAGACGTCAAAGTCCGCTATTCTCATGACACGAAATCTTTTCATCTTAAAAATCGAAAAGACTCAAAAGACTCCCGGGTAATTTTTAACAGTTTTTTTAACAGTATGGGGAGAATATGTTATTCGAATTTTTGTTACTTTACCTAAACACATAGGTGAGCAGTTTGGTAAACACTTTTCATCAATATTATCTCTTGATATTCGTATCACTCAAGCTTCTGTATCTAAATTAATTTCCTATAAAGACTCTTCTACAGCTAGTGGTCTAGACAACATACTTTTCCAGGCTGCTGGAACGTGGCATCTGTTATACCAATTTTCAAAAATTCTGGAAAGCAATCTGTCTCGTCGAACTACTGCTCCATTATACTTCTTTCTATCATAAACAAGGTTTTTGAGTCTTTAATTTACAAACAATTGATCTTTCATACTAAACATGTTAACTTACTTTCTTATCATTAAAATGGATTTCGATTCTCTCGTTTTACTGCTGAGTTGTTAACAATAATAACCGAAAAGTTTTATTGAGCGTAAATAAATAAGGAGAGGTCTGTCGCTCTCAACATTTCTAAAGTTTTTGATAAAACTTGTTATGTTGGTTTTCTCCATAAGCTTTTTTCTTACGGTCTTTCCGGCAACATCTTTAAGATTATTTAATCCTTTTTTACCAATCGTAGTATAAATATTGTCCTCGATGGAAAGCACTCTTCTTCACTTTCTATAATTTAAAGTGTTTCTCAATGTTTTATTCTAGGCCGAATGCTTTTATTAATTTACATTAATAATATCCCAGAAATTATTACATCTAAAGTGGCTTTAAAGAGTTAAGATAATACAATTTATTCTTGAGCCAACACTCTCTGATTGATTAGAGGGGGCATTTGAGCTTGAGTTTTTAGCTTAACTTCGGCACTTAGCATGAATTTTTAACTTAACTTCGCCTTAATTACTTTTTGGCTTTCACCAAAATCACAGTAACCAAATTTTATAATTGAGGGAAATTTATTAGCCCGTTTGACAGTTTAACAAAGGTATACGTAAAGAAAAAGAGTACACGTCTTTCTCGATACAACTCGCCGCGTTGGTTTAAAAGGTTCTAACTAATTTTTTTCTTATATTAAAAGAATAGCAAATAAATACAATTTTCTTTTTTTTAATGACTAAATAAAAATATTTAGTCATTAAAATATACATATATATGTATATATATATATATATATATATATATATATATATATATATATATATATATATATATATATATATATATATATATATATATATATATATATATATATATATATATATATATATATATATATATATATATATATATATATATATATATATATATACTTACCTTTTATTTATTAATGCATTTTAATCAATTCACATCAATCAAAAAAATCACATTCACATCAATCAAAAAAAGAATTCTTAAACAAATAAAAAATAGTAAAATAAATAATTATAATTAAACAAAAATTTAAAGATTTTTTTATTTTAAAATCTATTAACATAAAAAATTTTAGTTAGAAATTTGTCAAACCACAGCGACAAACTCATAAACCCTGACAATCTACTGTTTGTTATTAATAACTAAACCATTCATTGCGTTGATATTTTTCATGGGAATGAAGAATGTACAAGACAGTGACAGGTCCTAGACCAAGACCAATACTCTAAGCTTTTAAGACTAAGAATAAGACCAAGACTTAAGGCTTCGAGACCAATACCAAGACTAAAACAGTTAAATATGATTTTTGAGGCGTTATGAGACCGAGACTTTGGTCGAGACCTACATCTCTGGTTTTAATTGAGCGGAATCTTCCTTTCTCCAACTTTAAAAAGTGGTGTAATTTTTGCATATTTTTATAATTCTTGGAGAATGAGACAGAATGACAAATATATTTGTCATTCTGTCTCATGGTAAATCATTAAGTCCAAGATTTGTAAAAATATATAAATATATATACACTCGGCTATAAAGATATATTCACTCCGCTATAAAGGTATATACATTCCACTATAAAGATATTTACACTCCCCTATAAAGATATATATACTCCACTATAAAGATATATACACTCCACTATAAAGATATATAAACATCACTCTTTTAGTCGTTGTATTGTGAACAAACCTTGACAATAATTAAAAAAAACCGTGCTAACTAGGATCATTTCTATAGTAATCATCCTGTCATTATTTTGCGGTTGTGGCGCAGTGGTTACAGCGCTTGATTTATAAGCTGGTGATCCAGGTTCGATACGAGCTCTGGATATATTTTTGCGTCACGGTAAAGAAGGCGCAAACTTCCTGGTTAATTGCACTTCCGCGGTTCTCTGTGACAAGACCGTTAGGTCTTCTTGGGGCACCTAATTAACTAATTAAAAAAAAATTAATATTATTTTAGCAGCCGTGGCGCAGTGGTAGCGCATTTGCCTCAGAAAAAAAAGATTTGTGGTTTAAAGCCCACCTCTTGCAAGGTTTGCGACATTGGTTAGGAAGGAGGTGTGAGCTACCGATTAAATACTCGTCCGCGGTGCTCTTTGAGAAGATTGTATGGACTTTTTGGGGCACCTAAACAAAATTGAAAAAAAACAACCATAATAAATAAAATGTGAAGTGATTCTACCACAACATCTTTTATAATTACGTTTGTGTTATTTTTTGCAAGAAATATTGTGGGTGGGTCGAAAATGAAAGAAACAGTTGTGTTTTCAACTGTTCTCTCTTATATCAGTTGATTAAATTAATGGAAAACTGTCTTTTATTTTACATTTTGTTTCAACATTAATTTAACGTTTTTATTTTAACCAAAAAGTTAACCATTTATCAACCTTATATGCCAACTTTTTTTTTATGTAAATAATTTAAATTAACATTATTTAAAACATTATTTAAACGTTGATGTGTTAACTGGGTAAAAACATGGCGCATAATGATGAAGCAGGTTGTAGTTACAGCTTCAATAGTGAAGCAGGTTGTAGTTACAACTTCAATAATGAAGCAGGTTGTAGCAAAAAAATCATAAACGGTAATGGTTTTTCAAAAAACGTCATAGATAATTGTAAACTTCCTAATGATTCTATAATTTCCAAATAATTTCATCATTAATACAATCATAATCAACTCTGAAAAAACAGGCCAGTTGTTTTTTGTTTTTTTGTTTTTTTTTTTGTTTTTTTGTACCATGGGACTTGTTTTCAACTTAAATTTTAAATTTGCAATAAATAGTAACAAGGTTTTAGTAATATATACCTACAAAATATAAAATGGATACAAAAAATATAATTTTATTTTAAACGATTTTGGAGTTATATTATTGGATAAGCACTTTTGAAGAAAAACGAGTTGATTTTTTGAGTTAGCATTTCGTATCTTCAAATCTTGTAACTTTTTGGTATCATAGTAAATCTTTTTTTCCGTAAAAAGTAGTAATATAATTTTTGAAAGTCATTTTCTTGCTATACGTTAAAATATGGTTAGAATTTAATAAATACGGCTGCGTCTAAAATTTTTTTTAAAAAATATTTCTAATATTAAGATATACCCTTTTGAAGGCACAGGTTTCGCATTTTTAAAGCAAAAAGATGCATCTCAAATTTGAAGAACAATTAAAAAATAGCAAAATAATTGATTATGATCCAACATTTGCAATGACTACTAAATTTCAAAGACAGTTGTGCAAATTAAGAAAAGAAGGTAAGCTAGACACAAATACATACTTTAAAATGTATCCACCAGATTGTAACCCACCAAGGATTTACGGAATGAATAAAGCTCACAAACCAGAAAAAGATTACCCAATGCGTCCTGTAGTATCAACAAATAACACACCGCCTTATTGAACATTTGATTATCTTGTTAAAATTATTCAACCGACTCTGAACAAAAATAAAAGACCTATGAGTTCTAACAGTTTTGTAAATGAAGCTTTTAAAATTTTGCAAGCATTATAACGGCCACATATAAATCAAAGTTATAATCATTGTGGATGCGCATAGTGAATATGCATAGTGAATTAAAGCTAACTCAGAGAGTCGTTACTGTCCTTGTGTTGCTCTTGTGTACAAATAAAGGTGTCGAATCACGCTTCCCGTTCATTCACATTCTGGCTTAGTGACTAGTAGAACACATCCAAGTGAAAAAAGAATGTAAATATTCGGAAACTTATTTGGCTTACATTTTTATGAGCACTAGCAGAACTTGAGGATCGGTTATATGGTTGACATCTAAGCCAAATATAAGATAAGATAATGGATAATAGATCCTAACGAAGTTCAAGTTTCATTTTATATAGTCAATTTATATTCATCCATACCCATTGACGATGCAATTCCGGTTATTATTTGATATATTGAACGCTGACATTGATGACTTAAAAACTCGAACTAAACTTACTCTTGCAGACATACACCAATTAATTGAACTTTCATTAAGTATATTCTATTTTTTATATGGAAACAAAATCCGAATAATACCTAATTCAGGTGCTATAGGTTTATCTTTAATGGTTGTTATGGCGGAGGCGTTTTTACAAAATATAGGAAGAAAGGCCCTCAACATAGCAATTATTCATACATCCGAACCAAAAACTTACAAAGGATATGTATATGATTGTTATGCTCGCTTTGCTTCAATAAAACAACAACAAATGTTCCTGAACATCCTTAATGAACAACATCCTGCAATAAAATACACAGTGGAACTTGAAAGCAACCTTAAACAAATCAATTTCAAATTTTTATGAATTTCAAATACATAGAAAAGAAGGTATTACAAATGTTCAACTTAAACCTAACTCAAACATTAATCCTAACATTATTATTGGCTTTTTTAAAGGATATTTATGTCGTGCAAAAAGAATATGCTCTCAAAAACATCTTCAAAAAGAAATTGATTTTCTAATAGATATCTTTATTGAAAATCGCCACGACAAGAACATTCTAAATAGTATTACTATAGACTATTTAAAAAACGGCTCAAAAAACACTACAACTCAACCATTAGATGCCCAACCCTTTATAAAACTATCTTGGATACCAATTGTTGGTCCAAAACTTCGTAATGAGTTTCCAGTTTAAAAAAATATTTTTTGCAACAATAAAACTAAACTACTACTACACACATATCCTGGCGTATGCTGGTGTATACCAGCTAAAATGCTTGCATATACCAGCTAAAATGTTTATGCGGTTCGACATACATTGGCGAAACTAAAAAGAAGGTGATATCGAGATGTATTAAACACCAGAAAAACAGCTTAAAAAAAAAATGGTCCAGTTTGGGTGCAACTGAACATTCTAAAACATGCCATGGTAAGTTTGATTGGTTGCACCCCAAAACATTATCTGTAGCCCCAGAATATCGAACTCGAAAAATCAGAGAGTCACTAGAATTAAGCAAAGTTAGGGTTCGACAGGAGTTGAGAAATGGTGATGTGGTTCTCAATCGGCATGACGGTGATAACGTGACAACTAAAACCTGGGGGCCATTTTTTAATAAAATCTGCTGACGTCAGTTATTTAAAAAGTTTGTTTGCGTTATATTTTCGCTTTTTAGCTTTATCTTTTTAATGGTTTGTTTTTACTAAAACGTTTTTTTTTTGTTACTATTTTGTTTATTATACCTAATGACGCTGGTCACGATAGATCAGCGAGAAATCGAAATAAAATATATATTACAGAAAATATATATATATATTTAAAAAAAGTTTATACGCAGTCGTATTTATTGAATTCTAACCATATATATATATATATATATATATATATATATATATATATATATATATATATATATATATATATATATATATATATATATATATATATATATATATATATATATATATATATATATATATATATATATATATATATATATATATATATATATATATATATATATATATATATATATATATATATATATATATATATATATATATATATATATATATATATATATATATAATATATATATATATATATATATATATATATATATATATATATATATATATATATATATATATATATACATTTGTCGTTAGAATTTGTTAGTTTTGAATGCTATCTTAATAAAGAATTGTATTTGCTGTTGCCGTTATACCATACACTGAACATAATAAAGCGGACACTAAGAGAAAATTGAGGTCTGAGCTATTTGGGACATAAAAAGGTGCATTTTCAATCTTTAAAAATTTTCAAAGAGGATAAAAAGTGACCTATTAAGTTAAAAATGTGTGAAGGAAAATTGTTACTGCAACACAGTTCACATTATGCAATACAGTTTAAAGTCATACTGCAATACAGTTTAAATGCTAGAATATATTTTTAATAAACATTTTGGCTATCAAAATAAACTTTATTAAATGTTTAACATTTAGTTGGTGGAATTTAAAGACCCTTCTTGATTTCTGTTCTGAATAAAATTGTTTTTTTTTATTATAGACTTGATTATATGCGAGTTTACAAACTCTTTTGAATAGAATAATGAGCGGACTTAAAATTAAAGTGGTAAACAAAAAAAAAATTGTAGAAAAGATTGAGACACTGCTTTAAGTATCTTGGTAAATTTAAAATAACAATTTTTTAAGATAAACCTCAACATCTTGAAGCAATTCTGTCATCATTTAGCAGCTTAATTTTACATGAACTTTTTGGTTAACTTTCTGAGTGATAATTCTGCTATTCTAAGTTGTAAAAAAAGGCATCAGATAATACAAGTCAATGATCGCTTCAATTTTTTCAAAAGGTGAGGATATATGAGAAAAGTCCTTTCTGGCTTGCAAATTTATAAAAAATTAGCTTAAAAATATTTTAGCTTCACTATAAATAACTATTATAACTTCTTTCTATAAACTTGAATGGTAGCTTCGCATTATTTTCTAAAAATATGTACTTCGAAAGATTATCTCGGATATATGGAATGCAGGAAAGAATTCTTATAACAATAAGAATGCATTAAAGATCGTTTACAATAATAAGGAACCTTTTTTTTATAAAAAATTTATAAATTTATCTGTTATGATAATACGTTTGCTTAACCACAGTAGGTGCATTTATTTTCTGTGTTAAAGAGACACTACTTGAATCCTGCTTTGTTATGCGGTGTTTGAATTTATGCTCTTACATTTTATCATAGACTTGTGAACGGCCAGATTATCTGTTATTATGACTATACTGAAGCAAAAGCGTTGAAGCAATACTGCCGCCCTAAGTAAAAACGCAGTAAACAACAAAAATAACATTCTGAGAAAAAGCCACTTTTAAATTTTGTGTGTATATATTTTTTTAACTTACGGCAAAATGAACTATGGGTTTGATGACTTCGGAATATACCACAATATTTTTATATAGAGCGTTATTACACAGAAAACGATGTTAAAACGTTTGGTGCAATAATCTCGATTTTTCAATTTTTGCGATTACTGCGTTTTTTCTTAGGACGGCAGAATAGTGAAGTGAAAATGTTTAAATTGGGGGTGTATCGGATTGGAAACTTTGATATCGAAGCCGAAACAAAATTTGCCAAAATTCCTAAAACAAATTCTGGCCTGGAACGAGAGTTATATTTATGTCATTTTTTACCTTCAAAATTAAAAATGAAAGCCTGCACCTCAGCATCGTGGCTATGTAAATATATATATATATATATATATATATATATATATATATATATATATATATATATATATATATATATATATATATATATATATATATATATATATATATATAAATATATATATATATATATATATATATATATATATATATATATATATATATATATATATATATATATATATATATATATAAATATATATATATATATATTTATATATATACAGTGGCGGAACTTCAAAATTTGGGCCTTCCCCCCCCCGCAAAAGAATGTTTTTTTTGCGGAAAAGAGTTTTATAGTATAAATATTATTGAGAGTATAACTTTTTTTATATGAGGGCCCCCAATAGCTGGTAGGCCCCCCCCCCGCAACGCAGGGTCCTGCGTCCAGTAGTTCCGCCACTGTATATATATATATACATATATATATATATATATATATATATATATATATATATATATATATATATTATATATATATATATATATATATATATATACACATAACCTACTGTCCTACAGTCTTTAAAGCAATTCAAGAAAAACTCCATTGCTATATACACACACACATATATATATATATAAATATATATATAATATATATATATATATATATATATATATATATATATATATATATATATATATATATATATATATGTATATATATATATATATATATATATATATATATATGTATATATATATATATATATATATATAAATATATATATATATATATATATATATATATATATATATATATATATATATATATATATATATATATATATATATATATATATATATATATATATATATATATACATAACCTACTGTCTTACTGTCTTTAAAGCAATTCAATAAAAACTCCATTGCTAATTTCAAACTTTATCAAATGATTAAGCTGATTAAAATTATATAACAACCGCTCAAGGTAAAAAATTATTATTAATAAAAAAAAAAGATATTCAGATGATTTGCACTTGCTTTGAACTTTAAGGGTTCTTTTCTGGGTGTAAATCAGCTCTGCAGTACTAAATAACCGCTCAAAAAATACTGTATGTAGACACATGCGTTAATTTGTCTGTGTTAGTAATTTTGTATTTGTAAACATGGATTTCCTCGGGTATTCAAACACTTTTTTGTGACTTGCGAGTAGAAAAGTGCTCATTTTGGAGTGAATTGTGGATTATAAAAGATTTTCATTTAATAGGCTCACATTATTTAAAGTACAATAAAAATATAAAAGCCCTCATAATACTTACTACAAAACTTTGTTAACTAGTTGTATGATGACCAGACAACACCTGGAGTAGGTGTGTTACATTCTTGATTTTCAGCAACTTTTCAAGATCTTTAAGATATTAATCTCGCCGATAAATAAAATAATACTTTACTCAGTCCTTTCTTGCTCCTAAAGTTTTTAAATATTGGATCTAATATTTTTGCAAATGCATATATGGATACTTTGTCGCAGTCTCGATAACGTCAATGCAAAGGTCCACATAGTGATTTTTTGAAACTTCTATAGGCCTTGATGTAATGACATCAAAATGGCAATTTTTAAAAAATATTTAAAAAGATTTAAAATGTTTTGACTCATATAATTATGTATGAATTGCTGTATAATTATATTCGAACTGCTGTATAATTATGTATGAACTGCTGAAATGTCATATGAACTTAATTGCTGGACGTCGAAATGTTTTCTTAAAAAACAAATTAAATTACAGTTATAAAAAAAATGAATTTTAACGTAATTAAATCTGGTTATATTATTATCCAACTTTAATTATTTCATATTTTTATTCCTTCAATTCAGGTTTTCTGGATAAATTTAATATTGTTAAATTAACGCTAGTTTTCAAATCTGGTGACAAAATTAATATTTCAAATTATAAACCTATTTTATTTTTTAAAACTTGTTGAACGTATTTATAATTGAATATAACAAACTTTAAAAATTTTTAGCAAAAAGCAATGTTGTACAATTACAAATAGTTTGTTTAAAAAAAAATAACCATTTTACTGACAATTCAATAATAGAAATAGTTAGACATATATTATATTGATTATTGTACCATAGATTTTTTTATCAATATATCCAAAGCTTTTAATACAGTATTCCATAAAATAATTTGAAAAAAAATAAAACACTATGGAATTAAAAACAAAAACTTACCATGCACAATTGGACCAAACTGCGTTTTTTGTGCTAAATTTACATTTTTTTGTTTCAATATAGAAATCGCTAAATTTAAGATAAAAAATGCATAAATAAAGTTTTAAACATGAAATTAAATTTTTTTTTTTAAGTTGTAGCGTAAAAAGAAAAATAATTTATAATCGATAAGACAATTGTTATCGTTATAAATACCAAAAACAATATTTTTTGACATAAATATTTGTCAAGAAAGAGCTTTTTTTATGTTTACACAACTTTAATATTATAACAGTATTGAGAGATTTCGTAAGTTTTTTGTCTAAAAAATATATTGTTTAAATAAACACTACTTTTCATCAGCTGATCCTAAAGCAAAGATCACTTTTTTTAAAAAAAACCCTATTAGGGCACAAAACCGCAAAATATAGATGCATTGTTATTTAGATACATTAAACAGTAGATTTACATGACCAAATGTTTAGAGAATATTGAAAGATAGTTTATCTGATACCTAGTAAAGGTTTTGGCGAACCCTCATGTAGTATGTAAAGATTACTGGAAGAAAAAAACATGAAAATTGCCTATTTTGGGGGAAAAAAAACCCTTTTTCTTCGTTGAATTGCCCCTGTACTATCTATTTTTACTAAAATTAATTAATTTATTTAAAATACAGTTTTTATATTTATTATTAATCGATAGTTATATTTGCTTTATTGTTTACAATTAAACATAACAATTTTTTTGTTGCTTTCATAGTTATCTATTTTATTTTTTTGTAACGATTTTTTTGCATGTAAATTTTTCTTATTATATATTTGTAAATATTGTTTTAAATATTGTAATAAAGAACAAAAAAAAAAAAAAAAAAAAAAAAAAAAGTTTTTATTTTAGTATTTTTTTTTTTAATTTATTCCATGGAAAACTTATTTGCTAATTTATATAGCTAAACTTTTGTGTGAATTTTTTATCTTTATTATTATATTTTATGTAATATAAGTTTTAAAATGTTCAAAAGTGTAACAGGGGTTAGGTTATAAGACAACTTCTTTTCTTCTTATTTCCACCAAATTTTGAATCACTATAATTTTTGTTGTTGTTGTAGTTGGACCGAACGATAAATAAATTAAAAAAAAAAACAGTTTTAAATTTGGCTTCAAAAAAAATGCAGTTAAAAACTATTTACGAAAAAAAGATAAACTCTAACAACACTATTATGAACAATAACAAGCTTACTGAAAAAACTAGTTGATGCAGTAAATTTATAAAAACCAAATAAAGATCATTTAGTTGATAGTCTATGTAATTTAATAAAAAAATTTTTTTATTAAATTACATAGATTATCAACTAAATGATAGGTTTTATTTAAATCTCTCTATTACTTATCTTTTGCTTTTTTTGTACCAAAAAAAATTTCTTTTTTTGGTACATTTAAAGTTGCAAGGATGATACTAGTTTTAAAATATAGTGATGTAACGTGTATCTTACAGATTTCCATACTACAATGCTTTTCAAAGTTGTTAAAGCATATAATGTATAAATGGTGGTATCATTTTTTAGATATAAAAAATATTTAAAATTAAAAAGGTTCTCTCAATTGATCCGATGATTGTTTATCTTATTAACGATGTTCTAATTATTATGATGAAAACATATATTCTTTAGGTGTTTTTATAAAGTTTTTGATACGGTCAATTGTTATTTTTTATTAGCTGAACTGTAAAGGTATTAAATACGCAAATTTGAAATGATTTAAAGGCTACTTGGCTTTTTAGCAATATATTTTTTTTAATGTGGAACAAATGACTATAGTAATAAATTGAGCTGTATAGTAATAAATTGAGCATGTTTGCTGATCTTACAAATCTCATGATAATAGAAAAATGCTCATAATAATATAAAAATATAGTATACATTAGTAAATTTAGAAATCTTGCTGAATAGTTTAAAGCAAACAAATTGTTTTTAAATTTAACTTAAACAATTTTTTTTTTCCAACATGAATAAGATGAGATTTCTTTAAAACTTTCAAAACTATGCGTTGAGGATTGTAATATAAAAAGAAAATCCTGACTAAATCTTTTATTTTTTTCATTTTCATCTTAATTATGCTAACATTGTCATCTTAATTATGCTCAGGTGCATATACAAGGGGGCATAATTAGGGTAATACGAGACTTTCAATAATTAGGGTAATACCAGACTTTCAATTTTTTTTAAATGTAAAAGTTTTTTTTAATTGTATTTTATTTGTTTATATAAAGTAACTGAAGCTAATGTTGTCCATACAAAATGTCCGCACAAAACCGAGGACCGAAGGTACCGAGTAAAATTAGAGGACCGAAGGTACGGAGTCAAATTAGAGGACCGAAGGTACGGAATAAAATTAGAGGACCGAAATTACGGAGTAAAATTAGAGGACCGAAGGTACGGAGTAAAGTTAAAATATCTATGGTTACTCAACTATAAATGAAATGTATTTCAAAGTTTATTTAATTTTTTATTTATTATAATTTGAATAGTAAACTAAGTTTATTACTTTTTATATTTTACGGAACTTATCAAGGGGCTTGGCGACTAGACAACCTAATTCATTTTTTTGTCTCTGCTGTATACATATAATATAAAACTGAATGTATATGCTATATATTTTTTTTCAAATTAAACTAATGTAATCCTCGATTTCTTACACACAAATTTGAACCATTAAATAAAACTTTAGTAACATTTGCGTTAAACTTTTAAATGTATTTATCTAGCAACAATTTTAATAATTTTTTATTTATTCATATTTTTGTTTAAACTGAAATTTATTGAAAACAAATGTGTAAAATGTATAAAATGTGTAAAATGTGTAAAATGTGTAAAATGTGTTTTACATGTATATGTAGATATTAAACAGTCTTGAGTAGACATTTTTTTAAATAGAGATGTTGAAATGCATAAACTTAAATATTGTTTAAGCAAAATTAAATGAATTGATAAATGAATGGCAAATCGTTGCATGAGAATTACAGGGTTCTATATGCCTTGTTTTATGTTTAAAGAATTTTACAATCAAAGTTTTAATTAATGATTAATAATAAAAACAAACCACTTAAAAAATGATATATTATATATTATTTTTTAAGTGTATATATTATATATCATTTTTAAACTTATAATTTATGATTATAATGAATAACAGCTGTAAAACATCTATTAAATAAATATTGAAAGTTAAGTTCTTACAACATAAAAAAGGATAGAACCCTATAATTCTCAGGCGACGAAATGCTTTTGAAATATTTTCAAGAATGGTTGAAGATTGCCATGGCCTAAATTTTTTTATATAATTAAACTGTATAATTTTTATATAAAAAACATAATTTTAGCCTTTTTCTTAGTAAACATATCAAAACTAGAAAAAAACAATCAGTTTCACTAAATTTCAAATTTAGAAAAACATGATAAACTTATTTTTAAAATCTCAATAACATTAATTTCAAATATTATCTAATCTAAATTGATTTTGATAAAATATTACATTAGTTTACGATAAGGTATTTACCAAGGATTATGTCATTGTTATCTTGTTAAGGCGAGTTTCCACTCACCCGTTTTTTCTCGGGTACGGGATAGGAACGGGATAAATAATCACGTGAGCATGCGTAGTTTTTTTTCAGACATATTAGAAGTTATTCTACGCATGCCCACGTGATTATTTTTCCCGTCCCTTTTCCGTTCCCGTGAAAAAAACGGATGAGTGGAAACTCACCTTAAAACTATGTATTATCGTAAAGTATGTATAATTAAATGTTTAAAAATTACTTAGACTTTCCTATGCACTAAAGTTTTTCTGGGATTTTCCCGAACTTTAAAAAAATTTGCTGGGATTTTCCTATGTTTATTAAAGGGCAGTTCTGAAGTTTTTAAACTACTCTCAGAGGAATAGGCATTCTTTATCCAAAAATTTAAAGTATAAAAAAAAAGTCAAAATATATTAAATTATATTGTAAAAGTATTAAGCTACAAAAATCTTTGTGATTTATTTTTATCTTTATTTATTATGAAGTACACATAAAGTCTAATTTTTATTTATATAACTTTTCTAGTAAAACTTTTATTGCCAGGATTTTTTCTATTTCCTTAGACACCTCAAAAGTTATTAAAACTAATAAAAATTATTACAACTAAATACTGCACTAAATGTTATAAAATATTTAATTAAAATATGTTATAAAATATTTTAATTTTATATTTTATAAAATGTTATAAAATATAAAATTAAAAACTATTGTAATTTAATTTTAATATCAAAATAAACTGCCTAAAATAAACTTAATCTAATTTTAATCTAAGTTTATTTCAATTAGGGTAATGTTTTATTTTAATGTATTTTCAAACAACAACATTATTTAAGAAATAAAACTAATACATTGGTGAAGAACTAAATGCTAAACTAATTCTTAATGAAACAAGTTTTTAACATTACTTAATATTTTTTAATATAACTAAAAATATGAACTTAGTTAGGAGAATACATCAAGTTATACTTAACAAAACCTTTTAACTATCTACTGAAGCAATAAATCTTTATGCTCAAAACAGTACAAAAGCTCCAATAACTCAAAGTTAAAGGAGATTGTTATCAAAAAGTTTACTAAAGAAGATAAAACTATTATACCTTTGAAATATTTAACTGTTTTGTTATTATTATTTATTTTTAATTTTTTTATAACTTTTAGTTTTTAAACTTTGATTTTTTTTTTAATAAAAGTATAAATAAACGAGAATAAAATATGGATTACTTAGATTAAATCGTTATTTAAATAACTTTTTTCATCTCAACACAGAATATATTATTTTAAAAAAACTTACTTGTTGCATTAGTTTTTCAAATTGTTACAAATAGAAACGAAGGAAGACGTTTAAGCGTAACGATAATAATAATAAGAAAAAACCCTCAGTTTATCAACGAAGCTTTATTTATCTGAGATTTAGTTGGCTAATACAAATCTGTGAAAGTTTTAAATAAGCTACTTGACTATGGTTTCGGATTTCAAAAATATAAGTCTTATGTTTAAGTTGCATTAAAAGAGGAGCTGAATGCGTATTTTTTAGTTAGTTGCAAATAATTTGTACGCATTTTTTTTTTTTTTTTTTTTTTGACATTTGTTGTCTTTATTAATAATTTAGATTGAAGTATAACGCATTTGCATATTCTAGTTTGTTAAGTAAAAATCCTTTAAAATTACTCAGTGGAGTAGGCTATGCTGCTGTTTTCCAGTAAAATTTTATCCATGGCGTTTTTAAAAAAGAATAAAAACTAAAACTTATTTAAAAAATGTATTTTTATTATTAACTTATTTAAAAAAAGTATTTTTATTTATTAAAACATTTTTAACATTATAATTAATTCATTTTGATAATAACTTATAGTAAGTTGGCAGAATGCAGTTTGTACCAATTATATTCTATATCATGGTTTATTTAGAATGTAACTTTTAAAGAATATTATTAAATTTTTAAAAATTTTTTTATCTTTATTCTATAGCAATGTTCTTTAGTAGGTAAACATTAACTTTTCCGCAACCAATTAAGTAAAACTATAAGTTAAATTTTAACTCTTTATCCGTCAAATTAGAAAACAAATTCAAGAAAAAAGTTGCCTTATTGTCAATCGCACAATTTGCGAAAGCATACCAATAATTTCCTTAATTAAAATTGTCTTTTTTTTTATATACAGGAAATTGATCATCATTTAATGATCACATTCGAAAACTATAACAGTTAAATCAAAGTATTGAGAACGTAAAGTGAGAGAGTCACTCGAAAATAAGTACGCCTTAACATACCAAGCAATAAAACACGCTCCTCAATCGTTCAATTAATTGTATATTTATGAACAATGATCTTACATTCTTAGATATTTATAAAAAGTAAAACAACTAATATTTAGTAAACACTGTTGATAAAATTCAACTACGTTTTTTTATTGAATTTTATCTAGTTAACTAAGTATGATGCTCTTGGTTTCATTTCCATTTTATCATTAAACTGTTTTAAGCAATGGGCACTAAATATTCCAGGCGTTTTACAAGCATTATTAATCATGTTTCCAAGTTCAGTGCCATCAAAAGCAGTTTTAATTTTTTCAGCAGCAACCATGAAAAGGTTTACTTGACTTGACATCTCTGACGGATTTATAAAATGCTGTTGAGTCATTAATCAGAGCCTCTCTTCAAACAATTTTTTGTGTTGAAAATTTCTTTATTATTGCTCCTATACCACCGCATGTTTACCAGGTTGCAAAGTAATTCCAGCAAATTTTAATTTTGTGCTTGCTTTGAAGCCATGGAATTGAAGCTACTATGTAACAATTTTTAAATTGACTGCTAGGACCATCAGACCAAACTTGCAAGTATTTTTCATCCTTTCTAATAAGGTTAGTTATTAACAAGACAATAAAATAAATAACTGAACTTCTTGAATGGTTCAAATCACCAGAAATAATAACGGCAAATTTACAAGATTCACCATGCTAGCTAACAGCAGTAAATAGTGTTACTAATTTTTTTTCAAATGTGCTGACTTAACTTCATCCTTCCAGAAAGTTGAGAAGTTTTAATCAAAGTCAACTTGTAACAAAAGTGAATCATAATTGCTTTTTAAAACTTTTTTTTGGTTTTCATAACTAATTGATTGTTTACCTTTTATAAAATAATGCAAAAAAATTTGGGAAGCATTTTGCAAACATTGTTATACAAAATTATGGCTTTGTCTTTTTTTATTGCTTTTTCGAGGTACTTAGTCCCATTAAGTTGCATAACTTTCTCCCAAAGGTACCAGGTAATTTCTTTATCGTGGTTTTTTTCATTTAATTGGTATGTTCTGAGAAATAACTTTCCATCCTTACAAGCTTCAAAAAGATTATTCCAACAATTATCATTTTTCTCGTCACACACTTAAGTATTTGGTAAAGCATGCGAATAAAGGGGAATTTTCAAATCGATGAAATGTAATGCTTTGAGTGACAAGATATTGTTTTCATGTTTTTGACATAAACAAACATTTCTTGGCATTAAGCTTGATAAAAGTATATGACCCTGCCTCAAACTAGCAAACTTGGATTTACTGATTGAAAAATTAGTGTGTTCGTTTTTAGATGAAATTTTTAACAATTGTATCTCTTACTCCATTTGCCTGACGGGATATACCATCTTGTTCAAAAAAACTAATGACGCATAGCTTTGTTTCATCATTAAGAGCATTAGGTCTATGTGTTGGTTGCTTATCTGGTAAATCTTAGTTAAAGTGAATTGAAAGTTGTTTAACAACAGTTTCTTTTTTCAGAGGAGAAGTTGCAATAGCATGTATTGCTTTTTCAACGCAAGTAATTTATAAATATTTATTTAAAATAAATAAATATTCTTACGCTAGAATGAAAAATGTTACTTTTAGTGTCACGGCGTGACATTTCACAGCGTGCAAACTTAAAGAAGACCAAATAGAAATTTCTCAATGAAAGACTATTTAATTATTATAATAAAATTTCAATTTGAAAAGCAAGTGCCTATCTATATTTTGCGTGAGACAAATCTAGGGGAAAGGCGCCTATGATGGCATACTTAGCTTTAAAGCTTCAATCTTCAGTATCCTGAAGACCGAGAGCAAAAGATTTTATATGGATACATTCTTTGTTACATGAAGACCAATAATAACTCTAGGAGTTTCATCAGTTTTATTTTTTTATAAGTTACTTTTGTTAAAAAATAAATCACAAGTATGCCATCATAGGCAACTAACGCTCCTATGATGGCATAGGGGAGGGTGCGGCCGGTTAGCATCAAGGGTAACATGGCGATTTCATTTCACCTTAGAATCTTCCCTCAGAAATGCCAGAAACTACGCGTCATCATCCTAGTTAACCTTTTCGTTCTACACAGCAGCAGTGCAACATTTTGCGCATGCGCATAAGAGATATTGCGTTTTATGTGTTTTTTGAACTAAAACATTTTTTGTGAAGTAAAAATTCCTTTTTTCTTCACTAACAAATATGTTGTTTTTATGAAAAAAAAGGTTTTCTTAACTCGTCAATATTGCAACACACCTAACTCGTCAGTATGCCATCCTAGGATGAAGTCATCATTTTAATTCAAACAACCTATGCGTGCCTTGTTCAAAGGATAAAATTAAAATAAGTATTCCACTGAATGCACAAAACTTGAAAATAAAATATAAGAAAATTTCATTTCTGCACAGTTAACAGTAAAATCACAATCTTAAATATTTAAAGGGATTAAAAATACAACAGCTCATCTTAAAATCGATTTTCGTTGATTACAAAAGCAATATTTGTGCATAAGAGATGTATTTTTACTAAAACTAATGTAAAGTTAGGATAGACATGTTGGTCTAATTACTTTTTTGCCATAACCAATATTTATGAAAATATGACCGGTATGCCATCATAGGCGCTATGCCATCATAGACGCTTTTCCCCTACATAGAAATTTCAAAAAAAAAGGTTTCAAAATGAATTACTAGAAAAATAATTTAAATTTGAAGTCTGAAAAATTTTGTTTAAAGTTTAAGCATCAGATCCTTAAATTCTTCGAAAACCAGTTCTACATGTTACATGTTTTTAGACTCTTCAAACCTTTAACTTTTGAATGATACATTTAGTTTTTTTTTTCAAGGATTTGAAATTTATATTAAACTTTTTGTACAACGTGGAGCAACCCTAAAGTGGTTTTTATTTGACATAATCTGCAGAAAACGATAATAAAATGAATATTTAAATAAAATGAAAAATAATTTCTATAACTGACATTGCTTTATTTCTAATGTTTAGGACAAATTCTGAAAATTTATATTAGACCTAGGCATTATTTATACCTAAATTTGAGTAGGGTGTATGCGTCTCCTTCCCCAAATTTAGGGAAACAATGCCCTACTGAGGTAGCGGAAGAAAATGTCACTATTTGATGAGAGGAATGACTCATAACTATTGGTAAGGGTAATCATGCATTCTCACTATTTATAGAAGGGGTATGATATATAATTAAAACACCTGTGATTTTAACAAGGAATGAGTATTTATTTATTTATTTATATTTATTCAAAATACTGTTAGACTTACATTTTGAGAAACCACGTGATCAACAAGACTTAAATCATAGGCATATTTTTTTTGAAGATCTTAAAAAAACCTACCAGAAATAATTTTTAAACAAATGCAGATATTATTCTCCAGTTTCATTTTAGAAGATCTGGGGGGAAAAATGACTCCAGCAAAAAAGGCTGATTGCTTGTATCAATGCAAATGATAGAAGCAATCAGCTTTTTTTAAACAGCTAAAGGGTTTGGCATTTCAAAAATAAGTATTTTTTTAAATGCCAAAGAGCAAAATTTTCTGATCTTTATCGCTGTAAAGAGCCTGATAACTACATTCTATTTGCGGCTAAGAAACTTTGGTTAGATGTAGGATACAAAGATGAGACACAAACCCATTTATAATGTAAGCTAAACAAAATTATATTCATTTTAAAAGGGCAGGTCACCATAGGTCAAAAGGTGTTAACCAAATAGGTACTCACTGGTTCATTCAATGATTATGCCAGTGGAATATTTCCACTGTCTAACATCTTGTGCATAATGCATAAAAAATTAACTTTTTTTTCAATTTTTTGTTTAAATATAGCAACTAGTACCCCAAATAAATAATGCTTATATCATCTCTGGTGGAACTTTCTTAAAATTAGCTTAGAAGTACAAATTTACATTTTAAAAAACTACATTTAAATGAAAAAATTTACTTTAACATAATGTTTTCTAAAAAATTTTTACATAAATTATCAAGCATATCACTGATCTAATCATCAGCTGGGAGAGTTTAAAAAAAAGTAATTGTAAGAACTCAAAAGAAGCAAGAAGAACATGAATAGATTTTAAAAATAAAAGAAAGAAGGTTTTCTGGAGACCTAAATTAAATATGGAAGATTTTCTAAAAAAATTCTTTCATTAAAAAGAATTATAATTGCACAGATATGAAATTTTTGAGATATTAAAAGTTCAGTCGTAA